AAGGTGAGAAACTAACATGCAAAAGGAACCTAACCGAGTCCAAAACCCCTCGGCTGCGCGCAGTCAACCCCACGTCCGCGCCCGAAAGCGTCACTCACCAGCCGCGCGTGCGCAGTCACCCTGACCAGCCGCGAGCAGTGGGAGGGGCGGGCCAGTGTCGAGCTCGCACAGGCGCCGACACAGGCGCAGGCGCACACGCCTCGGCTCGTGGGCAAGCCAGGCAGTCTATAGGCAGCGTCTCAATCCCGTGCTTAGAACCCTGGGGGCTGTGACCAACCCGGAGTCGTTCCCTCAAGTGTCTCATCAGTTGCCTCCAAGAATGGTGGCAATAAAAATTTAAGGTCCTGGCCGGGCGCGGTGGCTCACACCTGTGATCCCAGCACTTTGGGAGGTCGAGGAGATGGGGAGGATCACCTGAGGTCAGGAAGTTCGAGACCGGCCTGGCCAGCATGGTGAAACCTCGTCTGTATTGAAAATGCAAAAATTAGCCGGCTGTAGTGGCGTGGGCCTGTAATCCCAACTACTCGGGGGGCTGAGGAAGGAGAATCCGGGAGGCGGAGGGTGCAGTGAGCCGAGATCGGGCAGCTAAACTCCACTACACTGTATCAAAAAATAAAATAAATTTAAGATCCTAAAGTTAAACCTACTGTTTTGCACCGAATCATGTAGGTTTTTAAAGTCAAGGCTTCATCGGTCTCTTGTCTACTTAGTCTTTTAATCAAATCAAAACGTTGACTTCAATTGTTGACATCAAATTGAGGCTTTGGTAAAAATTGGCGCGGGGTGGGGGGAATCTTTAAAACTCGCTAGTCTTTCAGAGTCCACAGTGTTGAGTGCATTAATCAATCAATCAAATCAATCAATCAATCTATCTATCTAGCACTGATAAGTATATACGATTTTTGTCAACAATACCTTAATTATCTGGCACACACAGGCACTGATTACAAGGTTTTCCTAGGTTTTGGCAGTTATCAAATTGTAACTGATACAAAGTATTTGTTTTCAATTCCCCAAGAAATCAATCTACATTATGCTCCTACCTCCCTTTCCTCTATTTTCTTTACCACTTTCGTGATCTTGCTAAGTTATATTAATGCTGAGCAATTTGAAAATCCTTTCTGGTATAAGGTAAGAATATAAACGAACTGTTCAGCTGGCAAATGCCGCCATTCAGTAAGTAGTTCATGAAGCAGTAGGCTTATAATGTTGGGCGTACTATCATTTCTATTTTAAGAACTGTTCCCAGTTTATAATAACTCATGCTACATTTTGACTTTGTTTTGAATTGATGACAAGTCTATTAACCAAATATTTCAAGATCATGTGTATCCTGGAAAAGGATCAGGAAGAAAATATATAAAACAAACTAAAAGAAATTAACACAAACCAAGAAACAATAACCAACTTTTATAAGTGCATTTTTTACGGAGGTGTTGTTCAATAAACAAAACTGCCTTAGCCTGTAATTACTTTAACAGAGGTTTACATTCAGTCGTCTGAAACAGATCATTTTAAGCTTTCAAAGCTTCCATTGCTTTAATAGCGTGTAAGACATGTTATCTTCATGTATTTTACTATATCCTATTTTTACTATTAAAGTGACCACAGATGTCAGTTTTTTTTACCTTCACTAAAACTTATTGCTTAGACAGAATGATATTAATACAGTAAATGTTTTCCAGGTGGAACCTATGCATTGTAATTTAATGGTTTTTGCAAATCATGAACATGTAAAATATTAAAGGAATACTCATTCTCATTACAGGGAAAATTACTTGTCCAGTTAAATTGGACATGAAGGATGCTTTCAGATCAATTTCAATTCAGCAATTTTCCTTTTGTATTCACCGATGATTTTTGTACATATTGCTTCTCTTCAGAAATGGTGCAAAAAAAGAAAGGGAACTAGACTCAGGGCCAGGTGCGGGGCTCACACCAGTAATCCTAGCATTTGGGAGGCCGAGGCGAGTGGATCACCTGAGGTCAGGAGTTTGAGACCAGCCTGGCCAACATGGCAAAACTGCATCTCTACTAAAATTACAAAAATTAGCCGGGTGTGGTGGCGCAAGCCTGTATTCCCAGTTACTTGGGAGGCTAAGGCAGGAGAATCGCTCACACCCAGGAGGTGGAGGTTGTAGTGAGTCTCGATCACGCCACTGCACTCCAGCCTGGGTGACAGAGGGCGTCTCCCGTTTCAAAATAACAAAAACAAACCACACTAGACTCAGTTCTTTTTAACAACAAAGAAATTACCTGTAATTACAAAAACAGATTTAGGTGTTTGTTTTTATTCCATTGTTTGAGTGCTTTATCACAGTTACTCAAATTATCCTAAGCATGTTGCAAAGGATATTCCTTAGAGTTCTAGTCCTATAAGGTAATTTGAGAAAAGACTATATTAAATAAAATAAGGAAAATCTGATTAAATTTTTCTGCGCTTCACAATAGGCATTCATGGATTAAAGCCTTCAACTTAATGCACTAAAGAAACCTGTTTTATTTCTCAAAACTTATTTAACAGCAATTATTTTTTAAAAACTACTAATGCAGGAAACTCACTTTGTGAATCAGTGTTAGGATTTTTCCATTGTTATAGAAATAACAGGTGCATATTCAGCAGAAAATAAAATCGTTGTTGTAGTTTGAATAGCCCCTTGCAAAATTCAAGTGTTGCCAATGGGCCAGTATGAAGAGGTGGGGCCTTTTAAGAGGTGATTAGGCTGAGAATTCCTCCCTTATGAATGAAAATAGGTCCCATTACAAACCGGCTTGAAGGAGGGAGTGGATTGTTTCTTGCCAGCATCTGGTGACAGCTTTCTTGCCTCTTCCACATGATGGAAGGCGAAGGGCAGCCTCCAGAAATGTGAGAAATAAGTTTCTGTTCTTCAGTATCAGCTATTCTAGCACAAACAGACTAAGATGGTTGATGTAAATAGAACAAAGATAGTTCCATTTTCTCATTTAAATATAAATAGATCATAACATAAATAGATCCATTTTCTCATTTAAAATAAAATAGAGTAAGTAATATGGTTAACTCTGCCCCAATATCCCTAGAGTGGTTGTGGTTAGTGTTATCACGCTGTATCAATATGAAGATATTACACTATGTATTTAGAAGCAATTGACTATTAGGTATCCGACTTAGTGTTAGGATATATTTATCTAATGAAATGTGTTTTCAGAAATAATCTTTAAATACAATGAAATTTATTGAGCATCTACTACTATATTTTATCCATCACTGTTTTAAATTTTTTCTTTGGGAAGAACACTCATGAGCTCATGATATGGACAACAGACCTGTGGAAATTAACGTAAGCTCTAAGTAACTTAGTAAGGAATTGAATCTAGGTCTGCCTCGACCTTGCACTCTAACAGTTCAAGTAGCTTTACCAGGTCAGTCCTCACAAATAATCATAACTTCCAGGGCAGTGCAGTTATAAACAGGTGTACAAATAAGAAGTTCCACTACTCAATACATCTTGGGCTTACTTAAAGGAGTATTTGAAGTCTAAGCTGTTAAAGTAGGCAGAAGTGAACATTATCAAAACAGAAGAAAACTGCTCACTACTATGGGAATAGAAGTGTTTAACACATCCTATTTGCTTCAGTTTGTTCTGGGAAACATCAATGACTTATCTCAGTTCACTCTCATGCTATATATTAAGAATAATTTACAAGGACAGTGGGTAGGAGGTTGAATTACGTGCCAGAACTGAGACAGAATGCTGCCGGAGGTGCTGTGTGGAATTTCCCAAAAGATTATTTCATTAATTTCACCAAATATGCCATTTCCACTTAGTTTTAAAAGAAAGTCAAACTAAACTGCTATTTGAGATTACATAGAATGCACAGGACCCAATCTGGGATCCTATGTTTAACAAACAAAACTGTTCCATAATCCGATCGGCATGTCAAAGGAGTCTCTCATAAGCCACTCAGTATAACCGATTGTATTTTTGGAGAGCACCATTAAAGATGTCTTTTTTTAAAGCTATAGATTTTTATATATTTGGGACCTTTGAAATTATGTGTGGCTCTCAAATGACAGATGATTAGCCTGTGTGTATGGCCCCACACCTGGTAATGGAGAAAAACAAAAATTCAAACTACACTCTGATTGTTTCTTAAATAACTTTTCTTTATCCACCTTTGGAGTGGAATAAATCTCAATATAACCTAAATAACAACATTACAAATCAAAGAATATTCAAAGCAAATTCAGGTTAAAAATGAACACTTTAAAAATGTATTTTCTTTAAAAATTAAATTTTCACTTCATATGTTTACAAGATTTAACACTGGGCAAAGGATGGGTCTGTCTAGCATACATTAAGTTGGTAATTCTCCACTTCCCCTGAAAGGCCAAAAACAATGACTCAAACTGCTAAAAGTATTTCCTAAATATGTGCCAAATCTAATGATTTAACCAATAACTGTGGAATTGTTTCTAAGACTGTGGGCTGATGTAAATATTATAAAGTATAGATAAAATTTTCCTATTTTTAATACTGGATATTCTGTGAGTGCCAGGAGTTCTCCCAGAAGGTAACGAAGAACTTGATTTTTATCTGTATAGAAGTCTTCATTTTTTTAAATTTAAAATTATTTTAGGACTATGTAATGTCCCCAGTGTCAATCATCCTATAATGGTAAACAAACTAGCACCATTTCAATGAGTTTCATAAAAAAGTTTAGCTAAATACCCATGAACAAATCACACATGGTCAAAACAAAAATGTAATAAAAATATTTAGTGAAAAGACACATTTTTAACTCCCATTTATGAACTTTAAAAATACAAATAAAATTTTACCAACTTGATACTCAGCCTGTAACTGGCTCAATACATAGCCTTATTTCCTAAAATCATATTGCAGCATCTTCTGAAAAACTAAATGCAACTTTATACCTTCATTAGTTATGTTAATAGAGGTAAATATTTAAACAGTACACTCATCCCTGGGTCTTTAAAAAAAACTGAAAAGTCTTAGTGCAAGTTTAAAATTTTAATATTTATAAATTTAAAAAATTGTACACGTGCTGAGTGGTAGCAGTGCTAACATTTTTGTGACCATTAAACCACAAACTCACTGCATAGAACTTCTTTCTTTGTACAGAGAATCAAATCACAATACCAACATTTGCAATTTGAAATAATTTTATGTGGTAAAAGACACCACACCAGGAAGCCTGGGCTCAGAAAACACTTGAGGTCAGATCCCCAGTAGGTACATAGTGCAGATGCAGTAATTTCAGGCTAGGAAAATTAGCTACTAGTATGTATCTGACAGTTCCTAATAGCTAAGAGGCCTAAGAATGCAGACCGGGGGAAAACAAAAACAAAACAAAACAAAAAACACCTCTCCAATTGCTGGGAGGGCCTGGAATAGGTGAAGAGCAAACCACAGTGAGAGAGGAGGGTAAAGATGTGAGTTTCAAGTGGGTAATGGGCAAACTAAACCTCTTAATTCCTAGGAGGGAATCGCCACAGCTGACTTCAGTGTTCCGATCTTCACTAAGACTTACCCATAGAACACTACAGCAGGAAACCGATTTCTTCATTCATCCTCTTTAAAAAGAATGAATGCCCAGTATTAAACTTCTAGTTTTATTTGAACCAAACATATTATTTGGCTAACTATGTCATGGGTTCTCATTATAGTCAACCAGGCATACTTCACATTTTTTATATCTAAATGAAAATATGCTTAAAGTTTAACTGGAACCATGGCACTTCAAATCAATTTGAGCTCAGCAATATGCCTAATTTGGACATTTTAATTTTAGAAAATAAATTTTTTAAAATTATTAAATGCAGTGTTTTCAGAACATAGTTACCAAGTCAGAGAATATTCACTTACATTTAAAAATAATTTAAAAACTTATATCCTCAAATCAACTATGTTGTTTTGTGGGAAAACTTATAGAAAATTATAATGTTAAACCTCAAATCAGTTCCTTATTCTCTGGTTTAAAAAAAAACAAAATGAAACCCTAAGAAGTACTAAGGTTCCTTCTGACTTAAAAGGTTAATATTTTATTCAGGAACCAATAACAATAATTCTTCATCAAAGACAGCTAACTTAGTAAGGTCTATTGACAACCATCTCTAACAACAGAGATGGCAAACAGATAAAAATTCTAACAGAAAAAAATATCATTTCAGGGTTCAGAATGATGCTGATTACTAGGAGACTCAAACTTGTAATCCTTGAAGCTTATAGCTAGTTCCCTTCAATACTTGAGGGGTTCATAGAAGTATTAACAGAAATGGGAAACATGGTGATTTACAACTATAAAGACCTGACATTTTTGGTAAAAGAGAAAGTTCCAAGACAGTTAAGGGGAGGGTTAAATAATGCTGACTTGGGGGGAAATTATATAGATACTTACTTTTGAAATGAAAATCGTGGAAAAGTAGTAGTAACCATCTCATCTAACAAAGTAATATAATATTATACAGTTTACAATGAAATAAGACTAAATTCTTAAAATTAGTTTGAAAAAAACCTGCAGTTTGTTTACATTAAATGTCAGTCACACTTTATACCAGACAAACACTTGATGCAGCTGTTTTCCAACAGAGATGGCCAGCCGGAAAGACCCAAATGACAGTGTTGGAAAGGACACTGTCAAATACTGTCAAGTAGTTTTGCTACTGAGGCAGCCACCCATCCAGCTCGAGGACCATAAAAGCAAATCAATCTTTTTAACAGAACAAAAACACAGTTATAGGTGCTACTATATTATCAGACTGTGGAAGTACAAAGTCTTTATAGTGATTGCGCTTTGGGAAACAAATGGGTCAAGGAAAATAAGAAATAAACAAAGAACGTCTGGAAAACAAGAGGTTAAAGGATACTACATGAACAACAGAAATTTTATAAAACAAAAATTTAAAAATGAAATACTTGACAGTGTCCCTTTAACATAAATAAAAGAGGGCACAAATAATGTTTTTGTTTTAAAAAATGTTTTAACAACTTAGTCAGTTTTAATAGAAAAAAAAAAATCAACTGATTAGAATTAAGCCAGTGTTCTTGATACCCACTGGGCCAAGAGCATTAAAACAAAACAAGACGAGAGAAGTTAATAAACATAGCTAAAGACAAAATTGGACAAAATAAAAGAAGACACAAAGTGAACAAACATCCGATCAGGCAGACATGCACACAACCACCCTGAAAAGGTCTCGCCATTGCAACTCAGTGGCATCCCCATCACCTAAAAAAATGGTAGTGGCTTCTCCCCACCCCAGTGTGCCAACATTCAACATTCTGGTGATCTCGTTAAGTGTTATTTGGTCCAATCTGAAGAAGGTCTTTTTTAACTAAAACTGGTCTAATGAAATTACGCCTCAGGAATATGGAGATGAAATTTTCTATTTTTAGTTTTGTAATAGGATCTGGGCAAATTTTGCAAATATGTTGCCATCTGAATAAAAGCTGTTAAATACAGATGGTTTTTTACTTACCAAGGCATTCCTTTGCCACTCATCTTTATTTTTAATAACTTGATTATAGTTTTCTCATGGCATGTGGACCTGTCCAGTCAATTGTGTGTTTCAGTGCCCTTTGGTAAAGAGACTGTACTCACCACACACACAGATATATATAATTCACAACAGCTGAGAAAGCTTGAGGGAGCTGGGAAACACAAAACACTAAGAACAATGCAAAACAAATAGATTACTGCTGCATATCACTTCAAGTTTTTTAAGGGAAAAAAAAACACCTAAAAATAAATGCATCATTTGAAGTATTTTTTAAAATATAGAAACATGTACTTCATGAAGACTGGTATTAACTGCCTTCCTAGCAGTCTTTCAAGATGTTTTTGCTTCCCCTTAATTGTGACTCAATGGTGATCAGATTGAGAGACATGTTCCTCAAAAAGCTATGGCCCAAGGCCCTGCATTCACATCAACCTAACATTACATGCACAGGTTGGATGTAATTTAGATGCTCCAGTTTTGTTAACTGTTAATAGCACAGAATTATACAAAGTTTTGCACAGCATCACATGTAATGACATATATGCTATATGCAATCAGGTATAAAAACTGTATTTGCAGCATGGTTTAGCAGATAGGTGTCAGGAACATGGTGGAAGCCGATTTTCATGAGTGCACCTGTGCCAGAGTCCTCTACCTGTCACTGTATTGTGAAAGTATTGCAGTAGGTGGAGTTTCATATGCCGCCGTTTATAAATTAGCTTTTATTTCCATAATTTAAGCTGGCACACTGAATTAGGGGAGCATGGCAGCTGTATAAAAATCCTGATTAAAAGACCAAAGTAGAGGATCTAAAGTGAATTTTTAATCTCTAAAATTAAATTCACGTGGCTCCCATGACTGGAGAAGAATTATTGCCCCTAATGCCCCAACGTGCAATAGTCTGTGTGAATCAGTAATTCACATCCTTTAAAATAATTATTGCTTAAGCAAGCCATTTAGAGTAGATATGGGCTATGTGGCTGGATAGAAACACACTCAAAAAGTTAGACTAGACAGGAACAAGCCTTTCATTTCACTGATAAACCTACATAAATACACGATTGAAAGGGGCACAGGTTCATAGCAGCTAACACCCTAAACCAACTCTGAAGCATAAAGACATGGTTTCTTACTAAAACAAATCAGCGGTTTTTGTATTTTCCTCTTAAAATTAAGGCAATGAAATGGCTACAGTTCCTAAGGTTATTTTTATGGAACAAAAATATACATGTATCTATTCCTCAAGTTCAGGCATCAGAGTATGACTAGTGACTTGTATTACACAAAACCTGCAACACTGGGTTGATGTAAGAGAGAGAGAAAGAAAAGAAAGAGAGAGACAGAGAGAGAGAGAGAAAGCAAGAAAAGCAAGAAAGCAAGCAAACAAGCAAGAAAAAAAGCTAAGAAAAAGCCAACAAACCGCTGGTGATGTTTTCCCCTACTGAATTACAAACCTAATCATCAAAGGGAGGAAAAGCTAGAAAGCACAAAACCTCTCAAGAGTTTTCAATGTCTCTTTCATTGATTTCACACTTTTGGGGTGATGGAAGGGAGAAGCTTATTAACATGAAGACTCCTGGGCCCAACAACCAGACCTTCTAACTCTGAAGGTCTACAGTTGGGCCTAAGAATCTACCTTTTTACCAGCTCCTCAAGTGATGCAGGCGCTCTACGGAGATTTTCAGAAACACTGCCTAGCATATATATCCATTTAATATTTAATGACAAAAATTCTAAACTTTGGCTAGCCACCTATGTTAAAAGGAAAAAAGGCACTGCATATGTATTTCATGGTGCCCATATCTGTTTGCACATATATGGAATTTCATTTTGAAAATTTTAAATCACCATTCAAAATCTAAAAGACATATGTATGACAGATTGTGGCTAACACTTAACAGCAAAAGCTGATTCCAAGTTGACCTCTCCTGTTTCACTGCATTACATACATACATACATACATACATACATACATACATACATACATACATACATATCAAAGTTTCAGGCTCTCCAAAATCCAAAATGGCCAAATGAACTGAGGAACAGGACAAGACTCAAGTCAACTTTCAGCAATTCAGTGCATTTTGCAGAAAGGATCTAAATTAAGCATAAAGTTCTGCTGTTTATTTTACACAAAGGAGACCACCAACATTTGCCATAAATTCTTCTAAACTCTTTAAAAAGGCCATCTTCTGCTTCCGATCCAGCGTTGGAGGAGTGCTGCTTGCAGTGAGCTTGTTGAAGGCATCTGCTAATCTCTGGTAAATAACTGGGTCTTGCTGACTTGACAGTAATGTTTCAACCAGTTCAGAATATTCAGCCTATTGAAGAGATAAAGTATACACAAGAATATATCCTCCAAGAATATCATACAAGTAGATGATGTCAGTTACTGGACTGTGGGGTTCTAAAAGGCAGGGGCACATTTTAAGAGTTAACATTTAGAGTAATTCAGCATTTAAGTACTACTGTTTGAAAACCTTTCCATGAGTTAATTCATCTATCATTTATGGCAATGCTTCAAGACAGGTACTGTTTCTGTTCTCATTCCAGAGGGGAAGGTTTCCACACTCAGTGAGGTGAAGTGATATATGACCCAGATCAAGCAAGAATCCAGGCAATTTGGCCCCAAGACCCATGCGATAACCAACTTTGTTATGCTGCCTCTTCAAAGCACATTATTCCTATTTATTTTGTGTATTACACATAATCTAAGTCTGCAACAGTTCCCCAGAGGTTAATAGAAACATCTTGTTCACACAGTTCTGAGGACAGCAATGTGCACCAAGACAGAACATGCAGGAGCCCTTTGGGAGGAGGGGGCAGAGAAATATATATTCCAGCGTCTTCTCTAAGTGGAGCAGAGCACTCTGAAAGCTCCAAGCCACCACTGTACCCAGCGGCCCTTAGAGAAAGGGCAGGAAAGGGGCTTTAGTAAATATAGGAATATGAAGGGTTTTCTTTCTTTTTTTTTTTTTTTGAGACAGAGTCTTGCTCCATCACCAGGCTGGAGTGCAGTGGCGCAATCTCGGCTCACTGCAACCTCCACCTCCTGGATTCAAGCGATTCTTCTGCCTCAGCCTCCCGAGTAGCTGGGACCACAGGCACGTGCCACCACGCTCGGCTAGTTTTTTTTTGTATTTTTAGTAGAGACGGGGTTTCACCGTGTTGGCCAGGATGGTCTCAATCTCTTGACCTCGTGATCCGCCCGCCTCAGCCTCCCAATTGCTGGGATTACAGGCAATTGCTGGAGCCACTGCGTCCGGCCGAGTTTTCTATTTTTAACACTCTATTACAAAGCCTTATAAAGGAAAGTGAAAGAAGATATGGGTTTGAGGGAAATTCAACTAGGTCAGAGATAAGCTCTCCTGAAAAAAGCTGGCCTGGCCAGGCACAGTGGCTCAGGCCTTTAATGGCAGCACTTTGGGAGGCTAAGGAGGGAAGACTGCTCAAGCTCAGGAATTTGAGACCAGCTTGGGCAACACAGTGAGACCCCATCTCTACAAAAAATGTAAAAATTAGGCAGTTGTGGTGGTACACACCTATAGTCTCAGCTACTTGGGAGGCTGAGGTGAAAGGATCACTTGAGTCCAGGAGGTTGAGGCTGCACTGAGCCAGGATTGTTCTACTGCACTCCAGCCTGGGCAACAGAGTGAGACCCTGTCTCACTGCAACCTCCAATTCCTTGGTTCAAGTGATCCTCCCACCTCAGCCTCCCAAGAGTCTGGGACTACAGGCATGTGCCACCATGCCTGGCTAATTTTTGTGTTTTTAGTAGAGAAAACGTTTTGCAATGTTGAGCAGGCTGGTCTCAAGCTTCTGGCCTCAAGTGATCCACCTGCCTTGGCCTCCCAAAGTGTAAAAATTACAGGCATGAGCCACTGTGTTTGGCCTGCTGTTATTTTTTATTGGCTTCTTGGGATATCATGACAGACCAAGATGGATTACATTTGGAAAAGAAGGGTAAGGTGCAGCATCCCAACCTCCAAACCATGGAGCTACGGTGGCTCCCCTAATTGCCCTGTTCAAGGGACAGTCCTGTTCACAGGGGACCAAGTATAATCTCCTATCATTTCTCTACTCATAAGAAATGGTAGAAGTGGCCAGGCGTGGTGGCTCACACTTGTAATCCTAGGCACTTTGGGAGGCCAAGGCGGGTGGATTGCTTGAGTTCAAGAGTTTGATATAAGCCTGGGCAACATGGTGAAACTCCATCTCTACAAAAAACAAGCTAGGTGTGGCGGCGCATGCCTGTAGTCTCAGCTACTTGGGGAGATGGGAGGATCGCTTGAGACCAAGAAGCCAAGGCTGAAATGAACAGTAATTGTACCCCTATATTCCAGCCTGGGTGACAAAGCGAGACCTTGTCTCAAAAAAAAAAAAAGCGAGATAGTAGAGCCTCTCAGGCCAGGCAGCAGGTATCATACCTGCCATTCCTAAAACCTACTCTTTTCTACAGTGTGTAAATATGTTAAAAGAAAAAGAGAGAGAGAGAAATAGAGAAGGAAGAGAAGGTAAGAAAGAAAGAAGGAAGGAAAGGAGGAAGAGGGGAGGAAGAGACAGGGTGGAAGGGAGTGGGAGAGAAAAGGGAGAAAGGAAAGGGAAGGAAGGAAGGAAGCAAAAAGGAAGGAAAGAAAGAAAATAAAGAAAAAAGAGAGAAGGGAGGGAAGTAGGGAGGGAGGAAGGAAAGAGAAAGAGAAAAGGAAAGAGGGGAGGGAAGGGGAGAAGGGAAGGAAGGAGAGAAGGGAAAAGGATGGGAGGGGAGAAAGGAAGGTAAGGGGAAGTGAGGGGGGAGGGGAGGAAAGAGGAGAGGAAGGGGAAGGAAGGGGAGGAGGAGAGGAGAGGGGAAGGGAGGGGAAGGAAGAGAAGGGAAGGGAGAGAATCAGAATGTCATGGTTTACATATATGCAGACAAGAAGTCTACCTTGCTAGTAAGCAACAAGTCAGTCAAATGGCAGAAAAAGAGCACAGATTTGAAAGCAGGTACTACCTGCAGGAAGTGGCAGCCTATGGCAGAGACCAAGAAATGAAGTCCCAGGGCACCTTCAAATGGGGACACAGATGTTACGAGAAGTTTGGAGAAAGGAGGTCTTTAAACAGTATGGAAGACCTTTCTAAACCGCCCCCCACCTCCTTTTTTTTTTTGAGACAGAGTTTCGCTCTTGTTACCCAGGCTGGAGTGCAATGGCGCGATCTCGGCTCACCGCAACCTCCGCCTCCTGGGATCAGGCAATTCTCCTGCCTCAGCCTCCCGAGTAGCCAGGATTACAGGCACGCGCCACCATGTCCAGCTAAGTTTTTTGTATTTTTAGTAGAGACGGGGTTTCACCATGTTGACCAGGATGGTCTCGATCTCTTGACCTCGTGATCCACCCGCCTCGGCCTCCCAAGGTGCTGGGATTACAGGCGTGAGCCACCTCGCCCGGCCTCTAAACCCCTTTTTAAAGATGGAAACAAAATACCAGTTTCTCTAGTCAATAACTTGGCCATGCTGGGAGGGTGTGTGTGTGTGTGTGTGTGTGTGTGTGTGCGCGCGCGCGCGCGCGCTCATGCTCATGGGAGAGGAAAATGGGAAACTGAGGCAGTAAAATATTCAATATGGTCCTTTTCATAAACTTCACAGGCACCTATTCTATCGGAATTGGGGAGAGATGTAAGCTGGCCTAACTTTTATATTAACCCCATTATCAGTGATGCTTCAGAGTCTTTAGAAGATCAACAAAATGAAATAGTATACTGTTTTCTATAATATAATATGCAATAATGTACTGTCTTCCATACTGTCTGAAGGCAGACTCTTCCTTTCCACCATTGTGTCTCCCTTACAAAACCATGAGTTCCTCACACTCCCATTATGTATTCCTCATTCCTAGCACAGTTGTTTAAGGACAGGCTTGGAGCAGTGAGCACTGCAAAGCATGGTTCATAATGGTGGAAAAGAAAAAATTAATGCTTTGAACTGACAAACAGCTGTCAGATAAACACAAACTGACATGTGAAAGCTAATAAAGAAGGTAAGAAATATTGCCTCGTTGAAACGAAACAGGCACTGAGTCACAGATCCTATAAGAAAGCGGGAATTAATGACCCACCATCTATCTCAACAGTCTCTGTGCAAAACAGCATGAGAAGAGTCCCCTGAAGAGAGGCCATGTCCAGTACCTGGTGCAAACACACCAACGTGTAGAAAGCTTCGCCAGCCGCAGTGGTCATCTCTGTGTTGTGCTTTTGCAAAACCAGCATATCAAAAACCAGCTGAAATTACATAAAACTTCTTAATAAAAACATAGGATAATCAAATATCCTCCAGTCCCTTCCCAATCCAAAAAAAAAAAAAAAGAAAGAGAGGATTGGTTGTTATTCTAGTTATTAAATCAATCTTAAATTTTTCTTAATGTTTTAGAACAACAAACAAGCATACCTAACAGATATTGCTACTTGCTGTGGTATCCGAACAATCAAAAATACCAAATTCCCTCAATATTTACCACATCAATTTTCAAGAACACAAGAAATAGTGGATGAGAATGTGTCCATGAAGAGTAATCTCCAGACAAAACAATGAACAGGAAGTCATGGTTTCCCGTCCCCAAAAGAATGGAAGCATTTCCTCATTTGAATGCAGAATTATGTGCACCAACCATACTTCTAAAAATAGATGATTTTCTGACCTACCGCACAGACATCTTACCTTAAGAAAGTGCCGTGTTGCTAGAAAAAGTGGTGAATCTGTTTCTTGTGCTTTTGCACACTGTTCAGCCAACGGTGTCAAGGCCTCCAGGCAAAGCTGGCAAACCTCCGAACTCATTCTGATCATGAATGTCAAAGAACAAACTAGATTGAATATACTTGATTTATAAAAGAGTAAAAAAAATTATAGCTAGTATTAAATGAATGAGTGTTTCTAGAAATAAATACAGATACACATGTAGATTCATGGGGAATATCTTCACTGAGTTATATAAGAAAAGATTTCCAGTGTTTTTCAGATGGCCTGTAAGGATTTTGGGTTTGAGTCTGGTGATGTATAGCTTGTTTCAGTTTATAATACACACAACTTATTTAAAGTCATATTATTCTCTACAATCAGACCTAAAGACCAAAGACCCAGCTCAGCATTATTAATGGGGCCCTGATGAAGGAGTGACTATGGAACCAGGGATCGAATACCTCAGAGATCTGTGAAAGGAGAACAGGACAAGGCCAACTAACAAAAGAAACACAGAAATAGAGCAGTTACAGAAGTGACAGAGTTTGTTTCCTTTTTTGTTTTTGAGACAGAGTTTGACTTGTCACCCCGGCTGGAGTGTAATGGCATGATCTTGGCTCATTGCAACCTCTGCCTCCCAGGTTCAAGCGATTCTCCTGCCTTAGCCTCTGGAGTAGCTGGGATTACAGGCGCCCACTACCACGCCTGGCTCATTTTTTGTATTTTTAATAGAGACGGGGTTTCACCATGTTGGCCAGGCTGGTCTCAAACTCCTGACCTCAGGCGATCCACCCACCTCGGTCACCCAAAGTGCTAGTATTACAGGCGTAAGCCACTGCACCCAGCCGAGGGTTTTTTTTTAATAAATAAAATTGAATCACAAAAGAAAAATGAAAACTTAAAAAACTTTACAGGAAGATCTTTTTCCCCAAGGGACAAGTAACAATGATGTTCATTTAAAGGATATGATGTCATTCCTAATTCTAGGGAGTACATCAGACTTTTAAACAGATCCTCAGGAAGCTGTGGTATTTTTTCAGGAAAAATCTCACAGATAAATGTGATTAATTTGTAGTATTGATTACAAAGGGTTGGAAACTGAAAAAGAAATATTAAATATTTAGATTCTCATTAGTATCCAATTTTTATTTTTATCAATGCAATAAAATTATGTAACTGACAAGCTTCTAAATATAATGATTTCTTTAAAGCATGTGCAAGATATAGAAAACATGAAGACCAAATTAAATGTAAAAACAGGTTACAATAAAGGGCATATTTTAGTAACTACTACAAAACAAAATAATAGACAGTAGAAACAATTACCTTCTATATAGTTAATACAAGCTAAGGTCAATTCCAGATATTCTGTGTTTACCCTGAATAAGTAAACAAGGCAGCCAGATTTAAAATTATTACATAATTTGGGAGTAAAACCTTTTTGTAAATGTATTTCCATTCAAGCATGTTGGAAAAATACAAGAAGGTAATGCAAAATGTTAAGACTATGCACAGAGCAGAGTATTCAGTCTTTACGCTTCCAAAAACATTTCTCCACTTGTACTATCCTAGAGAACTGAGATAAAATTAGATAGTCTGGGTTAACCACACTTAACAAAAATATACACGGAAATGTTTAATGGCTTATTTGTTCAAACAAACCCTAAATGCAAATCAGTATAGAGAGCTGACTAAACTTCCTCATCCTGCTAGCTGCTATGTGAATAGCAGGGGTCATCAGCATTGTTTCCAATCCTTAGAGACATTCTCAAGGACAGAAGCACACGGTTAGATTCTGCTATGCTGGCAATCTAACAGCACTCTTATTTTTCTCATACTCGCCTTCTGGGCACTTCTCAGCCTCTTCTACTCTCTTACTTCCTCCTACTCTCCTTCCTTGTCTTTATCTCGTGTGTGTGTGCGTGCATGTGTGTGTGCACACAGGCGCGCACACACACACAAACTCCTCCTTTCCACCCATGTCCTCATCCCCACCCTTATCCTGCTACAACAAATCCTAACAAGAGACCTCCCCCCCTACCATACTTATGGAAGGTAGAAAAAAGTTGCCTGACCGCCAGCACACTCTCAATATTAACTGGTAAAACCAAGGCATAATCTAGTCAGAATGTGCAAACATTTTAAAACAGCATCGGTTTTGGATGCTTACCATCCCAGTGCCTCTTGGAAAATGCTTTTCTTTGCTCAATCCCTCAACCTGAGAATGTTCAAAAAGTATCAGAGGAAAACACTGAAACATAACTTACTTTATTCCCTTAGTGACAAATTATGAGCTAATCAAAACTGCTACCAGAATTTAGTTTCTAAAAGGACGGGCTTCTTTCTGTAGCACTCCCTGACAAAGCGAGTCACTAATGTGTGGGTACCTGCAGGACTCTGGGGCAGGAATAGAGACTGAGTAAAGGCCCATGTTACTGAGAAGCATGCACAAGTAACCATTAATGAAAATGCAAAATAATTGCCACTTCATGTGCATTTAACAGATACAACCACTTAATTAAATCACAGATATATTCTTGTCTAAAGTATCTTTGAACTTCAAGTACATATAGTTGTATGTTCACATGCAATTATATTAATTACCTTCAAGAGATCCTGTGACATCAAGGGCAGAATTAGGTTTACTCCATACAACACAACATCTGCTGCTGACACAGATCTGTTTGCTGCTTGACCTGGCTCATGTCCTCTAAACACTTCATCTATTAAAATAAAAGGATCCAGGCTTATGGTGGTAATATCAATCAATCTTCAAAGTGTGTATTCTACCCTTATGAAAATAAATTCACCCCTAGAGCCTAAATAAATCAGTAAGTGAATAATAGAGAATCTGAGCCCATCCTGCCCCATCTCTGGCAAGGAGATGGAGGGGACAGCAAATCCAGGGGTGAAAAAAAGATCTGAGACCCCAGCCCTGTGTCATCCTTTTGAGTTTTATTGGGAGACATAAGTACTTGATACAGAAGTGTTGGGGAGGCTAAAGGCAGGGGACAGTCTAGAAATAAAACTAATAATCAATGTTTTGAAACATAAAATCTACTCTACTGACATACTAGCCATAATATGAATTAAATAATTTCTATAGAAATATCCACTTGATTTCAAGTGTGTAAAATATTTCTAAGCTTAAAAGGAATGTGGGGAAATATAGAAATTCAAATGTTACATAAAAAACAAAGTAGTTTACAAACAACAACGAATATGACAAAGGGTTATTCTTAATACTTATGAATTATATCTACATATAAATTAATGAAATACTAAGACCTAAACAGATAAACGTTTCTAAATAAACATTTATCAAAGGCTTGACTTTTACTAAAGAAATACAGTCCGTTCCAACTATTAATCAAGCAATACAAATTTTAAAAAGATACTTCTGTTCATTACATTAAAAATGATTTCTAAATGATAACATCTCATTGACAGTGAGGACAAAATGTGGTTAACTTCAAAAGCAATATATTAAGACCATTTTATCTATTAAGGATATAATCAGAAATTCAGACAGGCTTGCCCACAGAAATGATCACTGCTTCACCATTTGTAAGAGCAAAAAGTTAAATATTCCTGATGTCCAATATTAGGAAACAGGTGAAATTCCAAAATGCAGAATGCCACATAGCCATTAAAAATATCATCACAAATTTTAATGACAAGGGAGAGGTTAATGCTGCATTAAACAAAACAACTGAATATAAAATTGATTTTAGTTCACAGCTTGCCAGGAGTAAAACCAAACCAAAACAAAACTTGTATTTAGAGCATGATCACAAAGAAAACAGCACAAAAATAACCACAAAAAGAAATTCCCAAAATGCAATTATACAATGACTCTGGACGGTGTTCAAAAGCAAGCATGATTTTTCTGTCTCTATACTCACATTTTTTTTTTCTAGTAAGGGCATGTATCTTAAAACAACAACAACAAAAACATCAAATGAGGGAGATGTGTCTACTTAAAATCCACTTGTTAAGCCTAATGCTGAGGCTCTCCCCTGGAATCTTTGTTCTAGTTGAAAGAATCTCATTTGTTAAAGCAGGAGTCACCAACTGTTCCCTGCGTATCATACTGGTAAACCTGGATTCCACCCAAAGAACCCCAGCCTGCTCTGGAGCAGAAGGCTAGTCGTAGAGCTTGATTCCCTACTCCAGGTATTTGCCAACAAGATCGATCACTCAAAGCCTGCAAAGGATGGCCCGTCATGGCTCCAACAGGGCTCAATTTCTATCCATGTGCTCTGCTAAGGAGTCAAGAAGGCAGGTCAGACACTATGTTAAAGAATGTCAGGGCCGTCAGCTGGGCGCAGTGGCTCAAGCCTGTAATCCCAGCACTTTGGGAGGCCGAGGCGGGTGGATCACCAGGTCAAGAGATGGAGACCATCCTGGCCAACATGGTGAAACCCCATCTCTACGAAAAATACAAAAATTAGCTGGGTGTGGTGGCATGCGCCTGTAGTACCGGCTACTTGGGAGGCTGAGGCAGGAGAATTGCTTGAACCTGGGAGGTGGGGGTTGCAGTGAGACGAGTGTGTATCACTGCACTCCAGCCTGGTGCCTGGCAACAGAGCAAGACTCTGTCTCTCCAAAAAAAAAAAAAAAAAAGAATGTCAGGGCCAGGCACAGTGGCTAACGCCTGTAATCCCAGCATTTTGGGAGGTAGACGGATCACCTGAGGCCAGGAGTTTAAGACCAGTCTGTCCAACATGGCAAAACCCCATCTCTACTAAAAATACAAAAAATTAGCTGGGCCTGGTGGTGCGTGCCTGTAATCCCAGCTACTCGTGAGGCTGACGCAGGAGAATCACTTGAACCCAGGAGGTGGGGACTACAGTAAGCTGAGATGGTGCCATTGGCACTCCAGCCTGGGCAACAAGAGTGAAATTCCATCTCAAAAAAAAGAGAGAGAGAATGTCAGATGCTGGTTTCCAGTTATGCTTTCAATATCTCACCTAGTCCATTAACTTTGTTTTATAATATTTAAAATATTTTATATTTTGTTTCAGCTATTATCTTTATTTTTAAAATAACAAAATATTTTCTTTTTTTACCATAATTTACCTTATCTGTCAATGCTGTTTCTTTATAATTTTCTACTTTGTCTTCATTTTTGTTTCTTCTGAATTTCAACCCTATATACTCGTTTTGTTTTTACCCTGATTTTGTTCTGTCTAGCTTGAGCATTATAGCATCAATTTCTTTTATTAACCTTATTATGAAATCTTTTCACTGCTTATATTTCAAAAATCTCTCCTTCAAATGCTTAGCTTTTATTGTTTACAATTTGCTCTTAGAGTGGCAGATAAGAGGAGTGCAGCAGCACCATAAACCTGGGAGATGGTCTTCCAAATGCCTTTAGTAGCCCCCCAACTTCAATATAAATGATCCAATGATTTCACCCTTAACCCAAGAAGACTCCCAGGTCAAAAAATTTTCCAAACATATTAACGGTTATCCCTTATTGTTGGTATAACTCCTACTGGGTCCAGGGCAAGTAGTACAGAAATTATGTTACATAAAGAAAAACATGGGCTATGCTGCGGAAGGATCCTCCATCTAGACTCCAGTAAGGAAGCAGAGAGGCAGTTCTGACTTCCTAAAGGGGCCTTCAAGGAGGAAGAAGACAGAAGATTCTACAAACTGGCCAGAGCCTCACCATATTGTCTCTAAATATTTACTTCTATTATAATCCCTCCTTTTTCAGTAGGATTACAGAATATTCTGGAAATGTGGACTGTCCCTTCTCCTTTTTCTTATTATATGCTGGCCAGTGCTGGGATCTAATGTAATACTTAAGTAGGTAGGAAACATGATGGGATCACTATTTCAGGAAAATTATTCTGAAAATAAGACAAATCTGGTAGTATGTCAGAAACAATGAGGAAATTTAGTCAACATATAGATTTCTAGAGTTAGTAGGTCTTGGATGAGGCCTGACTTGAGGCATAGAATAAGAATCCATGAAAAAGATGATATTATGTCTAGAAGTGAGAAATTTGAAACAATGAGCTGATTTATGATACACAAGGATAACCATGACAGTAAATCATCTAAACATATACATGTTTTAGCTTTGGGTCGTAACATTTAGTTACAGATTCCTCTGGGTACAAGGCTCTTAACCTGGGGTTCTGACACACCTGGAACATTTATAGAAGAGTTTCCAAGAGTCCATGAACCAGCTAATACTGTACTAGTGAGAGGTTAAGAATGCTGGGCCCAGTGGCTCACACCTGTAATCCCAGCACTTTGGCAGGTTGGGGTAGGAGAACCATTTGAGCCTGAGGTCAAGGCTGCAATGAGTGATCACACCCTGCACTCTAGCCTGGATGACAGAGGGAGACCCTGCCTCTCAAAGCAACAACAACAAGGGAAGAAAAAAAAGTTAAAAACTCCAGGATTGAGTAGCACTGACCTGAAGTTAGAAAACTTGGGTAAGAGGCTGGGCCTAAAAACAGACTGGAGAGAATTTACTGAGGAAGAGTGAATTTGTGCAGTGCTTTTCAGACTATCTCACCTTAGTACCCCTAGTTAACAGCAAAAAAGAATAAAGAATAAACCTTCTACACCACGAGGTTGATGGTTCCTAGCTCAGAGCAGATTAGAAAAACTGTGGTTCAAGAATAAAGAAAAGAAAAACCATGGTCCAGTGAATAAGGAATATGAAAAAATTAAGGAAACAGAACAATCTCAAGGATTGGGATAAATAAGTCAAGTGGGACATGACGGCATCCAACTTAGAGAATCTTACAAGGAAGAAGTCAAAAATGTCTACTACCATATATGTCTTTACAACATAATAGGAGAGTCTAGATATGATTCATGAAACAAGATCTGTTTTGCTTGAAGGCAAAGTTGGCAGTGGGATAAGAGGGGAGTGAACTGTATAGCACTGAAACTATACAAATAAATGAGGTTTAAATTACTGATCAGGTTCTTGGCTATAACAACAACTACCTTTTACTTACTGATTGTCAGACACAATGCTAGGCACCAAAGATACTTCACAGCTAATCCTTCAATCATGATGAAAGGTATTTATTATTATACCCATTTGACAACTTGTAAAGGCACAGATAAGCTAATCAACTCCCCTGACATCATGCGGTAGGTGAGCTACTAGGCTAGGTCCTCAAAGTGTAGCCTGTTAACTCCGAAACCAGTACTTCCTACCCCAACAGGGCTTTCCAAGCTGCACTCTGGAAAGTGCTAGGGTGTGCTGGGGTGACCACCTTGGGGGACATGGAGAAGTGATTAGTCAATAAAGTGCAACTTTGAAGAGACTGGCATCTGGAGTCATAGGCTGGGATTTGAATCCCTGTCCTGGCTAAGAATCTGTGGCCAAGTGACTTAATCTCTCTGTGCTTCTGTTTCCTCATCTACAAAGTGAGAATAACAATAGGATCAACTTCATGTCATTGTAAGAGGTAAGAATAGGGCTTGGCACTTAGTAAGATCTCAATGAATAAGAGATACTCTTTCTATTATTCTTACAAGAGGAAAGCCAAGCAGAAGGGCCGCTGGTCCCCACCTTCACTTCAACCACAGAGATCTTCTTTCATTTATTCCATAAATTAAACTTCCTCATGTCACTTACAGAAAACAATACTTTGCTTTAATAAAAAGGATGACAATAACGAAGTTTAAAAACCATCACGTTACACTTTACCTGTATCACTGAAATCTATGAATTCTTTTGACAGCAGGTTAGTAAGAAGTTCCATAATGAGAAGCAGGTCTTGGTATTGCTCTTCTTCCGCTGTAACATCTATTCTTTGCCGCCCTAAATTATTCTTAGAATACACTTGCAACAAAGTAAGGCAGGCTTCATATAAGTTCATAGCTTTGGACTGCAAAAAAATGCATAAATTATGCTACTTGGTAGAATCTATTTGAGAAACAAACACTGACATTAAAGAAATTAAAAAATATAATCTAGATACATAAACTCCCAATTCCACGAGTAGCAATAATTCTTGTTTTAAACTACATTAAAAAAACAATAATTTCTAAAAAAGCATATATTAAGAAAACACTGTTTTTAAAATATTACTCCTTTGCTAACAATAAAATTTTAGGACAAGAATTTATATTCAGGTGCAGCAAACCACCATAGCACACATATACCTATGTAACAAACCTGAATGTCTTTTTTTTTTAAGAAGAAATTAAAAAAAAAATTATATTCATTCAACACAACTATCTCAGATTTATAAGTTATTTTTTTCAATCTTTTTTTTCTTTTTGAGTCTCTTCAGCCTCTTGATTAAACATTTTTGGAAGAATAAAAATATTATTTAGGATAACTAATTAAATTTGAAGTAAAGATTTATTATTTTATTATAGCTTTGAAGAGTTTTAATCCTGAGGGGATAAAATTGGAAAGTGCTTACCTCTCCAAGATAGCATATCTGTTTATGTGCAACTTCAACAAAAACTTCTATAATGAGATTGACAGTCTCTGGGGTATTTTTGTAAACTTCCATCAACCCAATGCAATTGGTAAGGAAGTCCATTAAAAAATTAAACAGGATTGCTACGTTGTCAATCTGGGTAGCCTCGGCAATGCCACACAGGGCCTCCAGTGTGGCAGTGATTTCTTGCTTGACTTCCTCTTGCTGACACATCTGCTGGAAGTTTTCTTGGTTTATCACTCTTAAGAATCGCTGCTGAAGTGGCTGAAGAACCTATAAAAATAAAGCAGGAATTTCCTTAAAGTTCTGTTCACATGCTTTGTTTCCTTAGCTTAGATAAATATTCACTTTTCAAAACATTTCTAATGGTTGGAAGCAGGACAAGCACATAACAAAGAATACCTAAACCAGACTTCACACTCCCCATTTTGAGAGTCAATCCTAACTTGCGGCTCATGTAAAGGACATAACACCCAAGGTATGGAACATAAATTTCTCCCTGCCACTCAAAGAATTCTGTCATTTCCCTCCATCTGTTCCCAAGTAATTAGCCAAAAAGGAAAATCAAAGATAAACTTTATTTGCAAAATCAGACAGCAAGCCACATTTGGCCCACAGGCTGCAGCTTGTCACCCTCTACAAAGTGAAGCCCAATAAAGCTCTCGCCTGTTTTTTCCTTTTTCCGTCACAACTTCAGATAATCAGTCCTGCCCTGTATATAAGAGTACTCATATTCAAGAGGATAGTATCTTAATTCTATTTAAAGCTGTCCATATGACAATATGATCGTTTAAAATAAAAATACTTAGTCAGTCTGATTTCCCCTGGATTTGAAGTCACAAACAACTGCCTAATTCCATTACTGTGCCCCTTCTCAAACACTAAGGGCCCTTTAGACACAAGGACTATAGACTGGCAACCTACAAACACACTGGCAACTCTTGGTCCCTGATTTAAAGCCCATTAAATAATGTGCCCATGGTTGCTGTTATGGGTCAAACTGTGTCCCTCAAAAACTCCTGTGGAAATCCAAACCCCAGGACATGACCTTATTTGATAATAGGGTTGGCTGGGCATGGTGGCTCACGCCTGTAACCCCAGCACTTTGGGAGGCTGAGGTGGGTGGATCACCTGGGTCAGGAGTTCGAAACCAGCCTGGTCAAGGTGGGGAAACCCGTCTCTACTAAAAATACAAAAATTAGCCAGGTGTGTGCCTTCAATCCTAGCTACTCAGGAGGCTAAGACAGGATAATTGCTTGACCCAGGAGGTGGAGGTTACAGTGAGCTGAGATCACGCTGCTGCATTCCAGACTGGGCGACAGAGTGAGACTCCATCTCATTAAAAAAAAAAAAAGAAAAGAAAGGCTGGGTGTGGTGGCTTATGCCTATAATCCCAGCACTTTGGGAGGCTGAGGTGGGTAGATCACGAGGTCAAGAGATCAAGACCATCCTAGCCAACATGGTGAAACCCCGTCTCTAAAAATAAACAAATAGAATAGAATAAAATAGAATAGAATAGAAATAGGGTTGTCATAGATATAATTAGTTAATGAGGTGATACCAGAATAGGGTGGGCCCCTACTTCAATATAATTGATATAGAAAGGGGAAGTATGAATGTAGACATACACAGGGGGAATATGTGAACATGAAGGCAAGGATCCAAGGATCAGGGTGATGCGTTTACAGATCAAGGAAGTCCGAAGACTGCCAGCAAGCTACCACTTTTCCCTCACAGCCTTCAGAAAGAACGAGTCCTGTGGCCACCTTATAGCTTGGACTTCTAGCCTTCAGAAGTAGGAGAAAACAAATTTCTGTTGTGGTATTTTATCACAGCAGCCCCAGGAAATGAATATCATGGTTAATCTGCATCTCATTCAAGACAGGAGAATGTTTCCCTGATCCCTAATGAAGATTTAATAAACCAGTCCATGCTCTCAGCTGAGTTAGGAAAAATGTGCCTATAATTCAGAACACTTGATAACATTCAATGTCATCACATACAGGCAGGTACAGACAAATTGTAAGATAACATCTGTAAAATAAGAAGCTTCAATCCATTCATTAGGAGAAAAAAATATCAGAAAAGCCATGACTGGGTCAGGCACAGTGGCTCATGCCTGTAATCCCAGTGCTTTGGGAGGCCAAGGTGGGCATATCACTTGAGGCCAGGAGTTCAAGACCAGCCTTGCCAACATGACAAAACCCTGTTTCTACTAAAAATACAAAAATTAGCAGGGCATGGTGGTATGTGTCTGTAGTCCTAGCCACCTGGGAGGCTGAGTCAGAAGAACTGCTTGAACCCAGGAGGTAGAGGCTGCAATGAGCTGAGATTGCACCACTGCACTCTAGCCTGGGCAACAGAGTGAGTGAGACCCTCTCAAGAAAAGAAGACAAAGAAAGAGAAAAGAAGAGAAAGGAAGAGAAAAGAAAGGAAAGGAAAAAAGAAAGGAAAGGGATAAGGGAAAAAGGAAAGGGAAAAGGGAAAGAAAAGGCTATGACTGAAACATTTATGTCTCCATAGACTCTTTTATGGCAACGCATAGATAAAGAAACTATAAAGTTACACAGAATGGTGTAATCAAAATAGAAGGCACCGTTACCTCTGTCCAGTACTGCTGTTTGGTTTCCGTGTCCATATGTGCAAAACCTCCTAAGACTAGAGCCTTCATCAATGTCCTCTGCACAGGACTTGACAAGAAATTAAGAGGTGGGCTTCGGCTTGCAAACTGCTTAGCTAAGTTCCACCAGTTCTCACACTGAATTACTAAGTTTGCCCTACAGGTAGAAATAACAAAACATAAGATGTATTACTTATGTATTACTTACTTCCTCGTGTGTGTGTGTGTGTGTGTGTGTGTGTGTAGAAAATGAAAATCAAAAATAACCAGATTTAATTAATTTTTAAAGCAAAGTACAGTAAACTTAGTATAGACTCTGAAGTCACACAGGCTTACATTCAAATCACACTAGTTGTTTGGCAATGTAAAATTATTTAATCTCTATCAATCATCACTTCTCTATAATCTGCGACACAGGAATAACAACAGTCTCGTGGCTGAGACTGATATAGAAGAATACATAGTAAATTATAAGAATTCAATAAATCAGCCAATCACAATAATAATAATAAAAATGATATTCCTATATAGTAAGAGCAATGAAAACATTTCCATTGTTTTAGGAAGCACTAAAAATTTTACTTTCCAACATTAAATTTTAAATATCAGTATTTAATTTTTAAAATGCGGGTAAGATGGCTAAAAATTCAAATGAGCTTATTCCACATAAAAGTGTCTGTAACGCTACAAATTACTAATGTGTTATTCATAGGGCTTGTTGCCAAATTCTGAAGGAGTCAATGCAATGCTCAATTATAAGATGGAAAAGCTCCATTTGCATTTGTAATAATAGTGTGACATAGTTTTGAAAATGCACTACTCCAAAAATGTATGCTCTATCTGGAATTAAGACTATGTAACCATTTGCCAGTTGAAAGGGCTACACTAAAAAGTGAAAAAGAATTTCTCACCCACACACATACACACATAGTCAGCCTCCAACAATGGGCTAACCTTTCTCTTCTTTCCACCAAAGTGACAAGCAGCTGCACAGTGTCATTCGCAAGGTCCTGCTCACTACTCCAGACTGAGAGGTTACTGATGACTTTTTGTAAGAGGTAGCCAATTATCCACTGAGAACCCTCTGTATCTGCTCCAAACGCCGTACTGAATGGCAGACTTATCTTAAGAGAGGAAACAAATTTTTTAAGGTAAGCAAGAAAGATCAACTGAAGAAATCCAGAGAAAAACCAAACTGAAATTACTACCTAATCTGAAGTAGTGCTTACTTCACATCAACTTTATGCATGTACTAACATTTCCATAGGTCAAAAAAAACGACATCCTCAATCCGCTCACGTTTTCCAGTGTGATTTTTCCCGTCAACTTCTATTATTCCCAACGCATTAAAAAACTAACATAATATTTAAACCAAATACAAAAAAGTATAATCTATTCCCAAATAATAATCTGTTATCTTCAACAGTGGTTAAAATAAACTAAATCAAACAATGTGCCCTAAAAAACACATTAAAACGGCATTCGAGTCACATAATTCTCTACAAGGTGGAAAATGTTAAACTGCTCTTAAACAGTTACATTTTGACAAGAAAACCACCAAGAGAAATGTTCCTGCTTCTATAACTGCCATCATCACAAGACCAAATGAAGTTTTAACAGTTTTACATTCTGACCTGATCATACAGTTTTTCATCCACCAGGAGATAAGTCTTTGCCCAGCGTTTTAAAAACCAAACAATATCTTTGCCCATCTGGGGACTTAGTAGGTGAGTGAGATCTGCTCTTATTGCTCGAGATTCGACTTCTGAAACTCTGAGAACAGCAGACAACAGCCTGTAGGTGTAAAACAGAAGTCATTATTCTTTCATTTATTTAGTGGCCGTCTAACCATATCTTTTTCCCATAAAAGTCCTTTTTCGTCTTTAAATTATCTGGCTTTAGGTCAGGCTACACTTGAACATTTTATCAGTAGAGTTTTAGACAAGTGTCCCATATTATTTCTGATCTTTCACGGAGTAGGAGACAGGATAAAGAAAAGGAAGAGTCAACACTAGAGACATCCTTCTGCCGAAGTTGTAACCACATGTGCGAATCTCAGCATTACTAGGTAAAGAGAATTTTCAGATTCAAAATTTTCAGATTTTCAGGAGAAATACATCAAATTAAATCCTCAGAGCACATGCCAAATTCTTTTAACTTGTACTACTTAGCATCACTACTTAAAACTACGCTGGTTTTTTAATATCATGGTCATGTTATAGTACAAGATCTGGGAATTATCTAGAAAGTTTTGAATATTGAGCCGTGTCTAAATCTGATACTTCCTAGCAAATTCGAGTCTTCATGGTATTTTTAAATAAAACTCTTGCTAGAAAGATTACCTGTGTAAGCACACATAGTGTCCTTTCCTACACTACATAATTCATATGGTTGTGTGGTGTCAATCAGATAGCATGACATGCAGACAAGTAGAAATGCCTTTGTTGGTGGGGCATATAATCAGATATGATATATATTTAACTTGACTTTAGCCAAAAGGCAAGGAAGGAAAGGATGTAATAGAAAGAACCCATTATATTTCTCAGCACCAATGAATATTAGTGCTGAGAAAAGGATTCTAATCACTCAAGTTCGGCTTATGCTCCTTTCCTAGTGCTCTCAGGAAGCCTGAAATGATCTTATCATGAGATCATACAAACATGTCAGTTCTTTACCACACTGGATGGCCCACTGTCACTGCCCTTATCTTCCTGCAGCCTCCCTGGGGTCACTGCCCTTCCTTCCCTCATCTAGCCATCTGCTTCCTCCTTCCCAGTCTTTATGGCAGCATCCTCTTCTCCTGACCTTTTCTTTAAATCAGGAGGTTTTTAAGGTTCCACCCCAGAATCTCTTCTTTTTCTTCTTTTTGAGACAGAGTTGTTCTCTCGCCCAGGCTGGGGTATACCCAGGCACAATCACGGCTCACTGCAGCCTTAACTTTTTGGGTTCAAGGGATCCTCTTGCCTAAGTTTCCCAAGTAGCTGGGACTACAGGCACTCACCACCACACGAGGCTGATTTAAAAAATTTTTGTAAAGACAGGGTTTCACCATGTTGCCCAGGCTGGTCTTGAACTGCTGAGCTCAAGCAATCCTCCCACCTTGGCCTCCCAAAGTGTTGGGATTACAGGCATGAGCCACCAATGCCCTGCCTTCTTCACTGTCTGCACACTTCCTGTACCACCAGCACTCACACTTTAAAAAAACATTTTTAGGGGGTCTATGAACAACAACAAAACAAAACCCCGACAATCTCACAATACATTAATACATTTAAGCTGTAGATATGTCAAGCTTTCTGGTAAGATTAAATCATTTTAAATATCTATTCCAGCCTAACAAATTTTGAAATAAAATGGCTACATTAACACTTTAAATTTATGCACTGGAGTTCTATTATCATAATGTTCTGATATCCAATATCATCCATTAAAAATATAAAACAAATTTTCCTTATTTTTATTTCAATTTCATTTCCCCATAGAACATCATCCTAATGCAATAAATTTTTATGTTCCAGCATTTTATTCATCATACAACATACTCTGATACAAATGTCTATATACTGCAAGATAACTTTTAATCATTTTCAATGATCATAAGACCGTAAATGTTTAAAAATCTCTTCTGGATTGAGTTATCATTATGATACTTAAAACTACACAATTGAGCAGAACAGTATAAATTTAAATAAATTAGTAAACATAAATAATTAAACACAAAAATAAAAGTGTATGTATCTCTTAATGTGATTAACTTAGTAGGGTTTGGTCCCCACTTAGTTCATGTATCTTTGAATGAACATTACCTATTGCCAGAAGAGTGAGTTGAGCATTTGATGTCTATTTTTCCTTTTAATCTATATAAGTACTGAGAAAACTTCATAAATAGAACCTATTTTTAAAATAGCAGAGTCACCCAATTACCTGAATTTCTTCCAAGTTATAAGCCAAAAATCACAGAGATCTACCAACAAAAATTATTTTTAATCATCTCTTAGTTGACGTCATCAGGTACTCTTCATGCTATTTAATGCAAAGGTCTGAAACCTGCTAACTGTCCACTCACTAGTGACTTAGTCACTTACTCTGTCAATGCCACATCATCTGCAACTGTCCCTCTCCTCTGTAGGGTTTTACACACCTGCCAATCTACATGATCAGAGGTGGGAGTGAGAGCTTTGGCCTTTCTTTTGTAAAGTGGAAGAAACGTCAATGAAAGAGCCACTCAGCCTGAGTCAGACAGGTCCAGGGGAGGTGCACAGGGGCCTTTCTTCTACCTCAGAAATACCTCTTATGACCGAAGAGCCTTTCTCCATTTTCACTCCATGACTATGAAAGAACATGCTTCCTAACTTGCCTTGTCACCCTTTAAATTGATCACCCATGCAATAGTAACTCTAAAACAATTTGATCACTTCACTTCTCTACTTAAATCCTTGTCAGCATTTTTATTCCCACTTCATCAGCCCCACTCACAGCACCCTCCCTGCCTCTCCACCCTCATCCACCCACGAAGGCCATCGTCCTGCCCTCCTGGGTCACACACCAGCCACACCTTAAGTTCCTCTCATTTGAGCAGGGATCTCTTACTGTCAAAGGCATCGAACCAGACTGAATCCGTCTTGGGTGAGGGCTAGGAAAATGAAGATGGGACTTAATGGGCTGTATTCCCAAAAAGTGAGGCATTCCCTAGTCTCTAGAAGTTTATAGTTAAAGGAACAAATTAATAATGTTTACTAAACAGACCCAGACTTGGGAATATCCAGATATTCCAACATCTGGAGAACAAAGGCATTCCTAATTTTGCTTTAGAGATAATAATATTGAGTCTTGCAAAATACAGCAATTAAGAAAACTAATCCTTTATCACAAACCCTTGTAGCAGAGCATCTCTCCATGATCTTTTCTTATCCTATATACACATATACAGTATTGTGCCTATGGTGGACGCATTCCTCCTCTTTCGGGAACTTCCTGCTCTATGGAGTAGCCATTCTTTTATTCCTTTACTTTCTTAATAAATTTGCTTTCACTTTAGAGACTCACCCTGAATTCTTTCTTGCGCAAGATCCAAGAACCCTCACACCCTCACTTGGGGTCTGAATTGGGACCCCTTTAGTGTAACATTACTGCTTATGCTAGTGTCACTGCCTGAAATACTCTTCTGTTTCAAGAAGCCCCTCTGGCTCTCCTCTGCCCATATATTAGGGAAACCAGGAGCTCCTACAACACCCTTACACACTTCTAACTGTATCCTCAGATCCTAGCACGCAGTGGAGTAGAAGATTCAACTGATAGAAACATCAAAATATTTTAAAATTGTTGATATTCTAAGATTAATATCCCATTCTACTTCAATTTCTTAAAGCACTGTACCTACAAATATATTCCAGACAGCACTCAGTTTCTTATATTGTCCAAGTCAATTCTGAATTACATTTGTATGTCATAAATCAAAAGTGAGCACAAAAAAGTCAAACAGAGCTTTCTTTAACTTCTTACGACCTCCGGTATATTCACTCTGAGCCACCATCATCTTTCTCTTGGATTACTGCAATTTGTCTCCTAACTGGTCTCCTGGCTTCCATCATTTACTCTTGAGTTTTTGGGGTTTTTTTGTTTGAGACAGGGTCTCACTCTGTCACCCAGGCTGAAGTGCAGCGGTGCAATCTCAGCTCACTGCAACCTTCGCCTGCCGGGTTCAAGTGATTATCGTGCCTCAGCCTCTTGAGTAGCTGGGACTACCGGAGGTGAACACCACCATGCCTGGCTACATTTCTGTATTTAGTACAGATAGGGTTTCACCATGTTCCCCAGGCTGGTCTCACACTCCTGACCTCATGAGCCGACCGCCTTGACCTCCCAAAGTGCCAGGTTTATAGGCATGAGCCATCACACACAGCCTCCATCATTTACTGTCAACGCAGCAGAGGAAATTTCTTAATATGTAAGTTACTCTTCTGCTCAAAACCCTACAATGGCATGGCGCTTCATTCAGAACAAAAGCCAAAGATGTTAGAAAGGCCTAAGACCTTATCTATTTTCCTAACTCCATCTCCTACAACCCACCACGGTATTCTTGCTGTTCATGAACATGCCAAGCAGGCCCAGGGCCTTTGCATTCACTGTTTATTTTGCTTGGAACACTCTCCCCGCAGACACCTTCATAATCTCCCTTACCAACCTCACGTCTCTGCTCCCAAGTCACTTTCTAAATGAAGCCAACACTGATCACATTAATAACAACTACAATAATCCCTACGGATACTCTCACTAGCTTTTTACCTGTCACATTTGCTGTCTTCTAACATACGCATAGAGCTCTAAAAGAGGAGTGACTTTTATCTGCTTTGTTCAAATACCCAAAGGCTGCCTTTTACGTAATCACTAGACAATAATTGTTTCTCAAATGATACCTGTTTTAAGAAATATGAGCTGCTTTTTTAGTGAAACAAGAAATGCTTCTACCACATGCTTTTAAATTTCATATTAATTCTTTGGATTAAAAACATGGTGACTTCATTTTTTTTGGTTTCAATCCTCCATAGTCTGTGCTCTCAAATACCTAAATGTTTTGCTCCCACACTAACACCTGGGACTGACAAAAATTGAAAAAGCACTTAAAATACAAGGAAAGCATTCCTGATGGTACTGCCCAAGCAAAAAATACAATATATAACATGACAGCACCCTGAAATGAAGCGCTTTTTAAATTAACATTCGCCACCAACCAAACCAAAGCAAAGCACTGATTTCCAGAGACACTAAATCGAATGACTATGGTAATCCTAAAAGGAAGATACCACTTTTTCAATAAAGTATGATTTCATTTCCAACAAGAGAATGCAACAATAAAGGAAATAAATTCCCCAACATTTCCTTGGCATCAGCTTAATATTTCAACAATTTTTTTAAAAATCACATTTTCTATAGCATGTTTGAATGATATTCATATATTTCTGCATATGAAAAAGAATAAAGGGGAAAGCATTCTGTTTGATAGAAGTTACTGGTTTTGCAGCTGACAAAAATCAATGTTATTATCATTACTGACATCTCTGCTTGCAACCTAAATTTAAAATAAAGTTAAAGATACTGAAATTTTAAATGTTTTCAAATCCACTTTTAGGGACTGTTTTTTTTGAGATGGAGTCTCGCTCTGTTGCCAGGCTGGAGTACAGTGGCCCGATCTCGGCTCACTTCAACCTCTGCCTCCCGGCTTCAAGCGATTCTCCTGCCTCAGCCTCCTGAGTAGCTGGGACTACAGGCGTGCGCCACCACACCCAGCTAATTTTTCTATTTTTAGTAGAGACAACAGGGTTTCACCATATTGGCCAGGATAGTCTCCATCTCTTGACCTCGTGATCTGCCTGCCTCAGCCTCCCACAGTGTGGGGACTACAGGCGCGAGCCACAGTGCCCAGCCAGAACATTTTTAATACAGTTTACTCCGCCTTAATTTCACCATTAAGAATTAACAAAAATTTTGCCATTACCATTAGGAAGATTAAAGTGAATCATCTCATTTAGGGTACTCTCCTGTCTTGTAACAGAGCCCTTACGTTTCATTTTTAGAATAAAGATTTCCATTTTATGATATATGAATTATCTGTCATCTATCATTTTCCATAAGAAAGCCACCAAAACATAGTTTTAGTTTTTATGAAATAATACTTGTTAAAGTTCATCTGATTCCCTTCATTTAGGGTGCCTGTATACATTAGTATTGATCTCTGATAGTCAGGTGTTATGTTCATAACTACATTCAATGTCCCTTCCAAGTCTCATTGTATTCAGAATCATCTGACATTTGTTTTCTTCAGCACTGGGTATAGCTGTCAACTCTCACTAGAGTGCCATTGCCTAAATATACTGAGTACTTGCCATCCTTGTGTATTTCAAGGCTTCTCCAAGTTTTCATTTTTTTCATGTATCAGATTTACAACGTGCCTATCACTCCAGTGATCTACCCATCAACTCAGAATTTATAAAACAGTATAAAAATTACAAGAGCACAGCTATAGAGTTTATATTACCTAATCACAGAATCTGTTCTGTTGTACCCTGGGATGGAAGAAGCCTTTTCTCCTGGAGATCCCAAAATTTGAAGTGTTGTATTAATGTCAACTTCAGATGAATGCTTAATGGAATATTCCATTATTTCTGGAGGTATTAGCGGAGTCTCTCCCTGAGTATCATCAGCTAAGAGGTAGCCTTCAGTTTAAAAAAAATTAAAAATGAACACTTAACAAATCTACATTTATCAAATTGTACTATAAATGTTTTCAGTTTTATTTGATTTACATACATCATATAAACTGATGTAAAAGTAAATTATAAATGTTAACCTGTTAATTTCAAATTTATGCAAAAAAACTTTCTACGTCTCAGATAAGTAACCCTCAAAACTACAGAAAAGGACAAATGTTTTATTTGCCAATTTTATAATTCATAGGGGCTTTTTAATCTACTACCTTAAGTAATTTTCAGTACTATATTCTGTGAAGTTAATAAAAAATTCTGCTACTATCTATATTAGAAGCCAATATTAGAGAATTCATTTTCAAAAGTCAAGATTTTTTTCCTTATTATTTAAAATATGGAAACACTAATAGTATGGTGGTCAAGAAAGATGATCCTAAGAGTCAGACTGCCTAGATTTACATTCTGGCTCTGAAAATTAACAGCAGTGTGACAATGGGCTAGTTTCTTATATTCTCAAAGACTCAGCTGCTTCATCTATTCGTTGGTAGATGATGATGATGGTAATAGTAATAATGCCAAGCAACACTAATTCATTGGGTAGAATGAGATCTATAAAAGATTTGGTATGCAATAGGCACTGCATAAATATTAGCCAGTACTTTTTTTAAATGCATCCATAGTTCTATGACAGAAAATAGCTCTATCCAGATTTTATCCAATATTATATATATAAACTATTGTTTTTAATATTGAAGCTTCTTTTAAGGCTTAAACTGCTTAGTTGGCAATTACGTTTTAAAAAGAAACCACCAACCAACCTGTAACTAAAATAAGCCAGTGAATATCTTCATAGAGATCATCGAGCATTTTGTTGTCAATAGTGCTTGAACCTGGTGAAGCAAGTAATTGTTGCTGATGTTGTTGTAATTGACCGTGGAGCCTTGTTACTCTTTCTTCTAATAAACTAAAAGAGGAGAAAACAGTGGCTTCATAAAGTTCAATAAGCAAAGACATGGATCAACTTAAAACTTCCATATATCAGACAACACGAATTAAATGTTAGCATAAAAACACATATACAAAAACATTATAGTACGCAACTGTTCTCATAGCATTACAGGAATTATGATTTATTTTTTATAACATAGAATTAAAACACTGCTTTACAAACAATCAAGGTTTACAACAGGCATTTGAAAACTGGTTATTCCAAGTTTTTACTGATATGGGTCAAATCATTTCTCATACCATGTTTTCCATAATCTCTCTGCCATCTATGCTGTAGTGCCTGGGCTCCAAATGTCTAAGCCAAGGAACGCAATCATGAGTATGTTTCTGTCCATTTGTTCCAGTGTGCTGGGACACGGGGTGGGGGTGTTTAAAGTCTTTAAACACTTTAAGTGTTCTCCAGGGAATTGTGAATAGAGAGTATTTGCTCCATGGGGTTTCTTTGGACTGTGTGTACCTTGTCAGAAGAGGTATACAGTGTTCTGCAGCAATTCTTCCTAGCATTCCTACACTGGCCAGTTGATCAGAAAACTGGTCTCGATCATCCTCTTGAAGTTCACTTATTTCTTCCTCCTCACGAGAGGCCACACCATTGGCAGTCTATTGCAAGAGAAAGAAAGAAACAATGAGGAACTGCACTACCTATTCAACGTGCACTTCTGTGGCTCCATAACAGAGTTTAGCACTGCATAGCAAAAGGAGAGCGGGACACAGCCAACCTTTGAGAACAGCTAACTTCTAACAATGCTGACAGCCATGGTAGTTATCAAAAAGGGGAAACATACAAGAGAAAGAAGTACAGGAATCACCCCATGGTGATCAATACAACTAACTGCACACCCAAACCCACCTCCCACGTGGGATCATTGAATTTCTGTCACTGAAACGAGTGGACACCCATTGTCCAAATTATTCTTATCTCTTGACAGCTAGACAGAAAGAGGTGGGTAACTGAAAACTGAAAAGGAATAACTATAAGCAGCATCCCACATAATAAGAACTCAGAGAATAAGGACCACTTTTGCTCCCAGCAAATCTTCTGAGGGAACCCATCCTAAATTTCTGGTATTGTATAATGTATAACATGGTGGATACAGCCTAGGATGAAATAGACTATTAATTACCATCTTGCTTAAAACTCACCAAATTCCTTGTGCCATCTGGAGCAGCTAGGTGGCACTGAATATAGGAATTGAAAACTTGAACTGCATGTTGCGTAAAAAAGCCTTTATGGAAATGTTTGTCATCTTGAACCAAAGTTAGCCAGGACTCCAACAATTTATCATATGCTTCCATGTATACCATGTCATCTTTATCAAGCTAAAAAAAAAAAGAACATTCATAAAACAAATGTCCAGAGAACGATAATGGGCATTATAACAAGAGTCACATAAATACATATAAATAGTTTAAGTTTTTCCTTTAACAGAGCATTAATAAACTTCACCTATTAAAGAGAGATTTTATGGTACAGTTGATCCTCATTTTTTGTAGATTCCATATTTACAAATTCACTTCCTGGCTACAGTTTATTTGTAACCTCAAAATCAACACTCTTGGTACTTTCATGATCACTTGCAAATACCCATGCACATAGTGCCAAAAAATCTGAACCACCATATTTCCAGCTGACATTAAACAAAGTAGCACTCTCCCTTCTTGTTACAGTCCTTGCTCTGTAAGATGAAACAGCAAAATGTTTCCAGATAAAGAAGGAATCACTAGGTTCCATAATGTATTTTAGTTATATGAGTCCTAAGTACCCATGAGCTAACTGCAAGATAAAATGAGTTTTATTCTATTTTCTTTAACGTAAATATCCTTTTGCTTCTCAGATCTCCAAGAAAGAATAAAAGACATAAAAACAAATCAATGGTTTTTTGGTTTTTGGCTGGTTTTTTCAGTTTCACTCTGTTGTCCAGGCTGGAGTGTAGTGGTGTGATCTCGGCTCACTGCAACCTCCACCTCCTGGGTTCAAGCAATTCTCCTGCCTCAGCCTCCTGAGTAGCTGAGATTACAGGCACGCACCACCATGCCCGGCTATTTTTTATATTTTTAGTAGAGACTGGGTTTCACCATATTGGTCAACCAGGTCTCGAACTCCTGACCTCAGGTGATCCACCTAACTCGGCCTCCCAAAGGGCTGGGATTACAGGCATGAGTCACTGCACCCAGCCACAAATCAATGTTTATAAATAGAACTGTACAAAAAAGAAACTCAAAAACTAACCCCTCATGATATACTAAAGATTCCACTATTAGTCACTGTCTCCTGTGTGAAGCTCTGTTTGGAAGCGATTTTCTTCTTTTATTTTACTTAATATTTAAGAAAATTCCTGGAAGGAACATTCCTCTTTTTGCATGAGATCCTACTAAAGAACTGTGTCTTCCTTCCCACGTCAAGATGTTCAAATCAGAAAATGAAAACCAACCTTATTACCTATAGATGAGCTTCCTCCTCATTTCTCCTGTTTTGACTGCTCTTTTTTCCAGTTTTGACTTTCCACTCTGACTTAATCTGGGCTCTCTTTTGCAAGCTTTAAAGAATTATTTCACTTTCAAGGCTCTTTTCACAAGCCACCAGAAATCTTGTACAGAACAAAGAGGGTCAGGAAAGAATTAAGTCATCTCTAACATTGTTTCACTGCTATGCCCATTTACTTTTCTTCCTTCTCTCTAAGACACAGCCACTCTTCCAAAGCCTGCCAGATTGATGGAGGAGCAGCTCTGAAGAGTGGCCTAAATGTAGAATGAGACACCACTGGAAGAGCTGATCAAAAAAGAAACTTAAGCCCTTAAGAATGTCTACTAAACAGGAGAGTGACATGATGAGATACATATATGGTGTGTATATGTGTGTGCATATGTCCTAAACTCCCAGGCTCAGGCTGGGTGTGGTGGCTCATGGCTGTAATCTCAGCACTTTGAGAGGCTGAGTTGGGTGGATCACTTGAGGTCAGGAGTTACAGACCAGCCTGGCCAACATGGTGAGATTTAAAAATACAAAAAAATAGCTGAGTGTGGTGGTGCTTGCCTGTAATCCCAGCTACTTGGGAGGCTGAGACGGGAGAATTGTTTGAACCCAGGAGGCAGATGTTGTAGAGAGCCGAGATCATGCCACTACACTCCAGCCTGGGCAAAAGTAAGACTCTGTCTCAAAAAAATAAAATAAAAAACTAAAAAAAAAAATTCCCAGGCTCAGTGATCCTCCTGCCTCAGCCTCCAGAGTAGACTCCAGAGCAGACTACAGGTACACACCATTGTGCCTGACTAATTTTTCAATTTTCTTGAAGAGATGGGATCTTGCTATGTTGCCCAGGCTGGTCTTGAACTCCCGGACTCAAGTGATCCTTCTGTCTCAGCCTCTAAGTAGCTGGAATTACAGGCATGTGCCACTGTGCCTGGCCCACATGATGATTTATATATAAGCATGTTTGCTGCAGCATTACTTAAAGTTGTGCAAATAAATTTACTAAACCATTGTTTCATTGTTTTACATTAAAACACAATTTTTGACACTAATTAAGCATAAAAAAATGCTCACAGTATTAGGAAAAAGCAATGATTTTATCTTTAATTTTAATTCATGCCTTAAAACCTGGAAAAAATATCAAAACATTAATAAAACAAGTTTCAGAAAGTGAAACAAAGTGATTTGGTTTACTTCTAATTTTTAGTTTTTCAAAATTTCTTTAAAAACATTAACAAGTATTAAATTTGCATGATTAGGAATAAAGGCATTATATGTGTGAATCAAGAGATGCCAAGGAAGACAGTCACTCAAATGATAACACGATATACGTGACAAGTGATTTTTGGAGAATTTTAACTTTATGTATTATTTGAATTACTTTTTCCAATAAGCATACCATTTCACAACATTAAAACTGTATTTTGAAATATCAGTAAGAAGCCAAGAACAGTGGCTCATGCCTGTCATCCCAGAACTTCGGTAGGCTGAGGCGGGCAGATCACCTGAGTTTGGGAGTTCGAGACCAACGTGACGAACATAGAGAAACCCCATCTCTACTAAAAATACAAAATTAGCCGGGCGTGGTGGCTCATGCCTATAATCCCAGCTACTTGGAACACTGAGGCAGAAGAATTGCTTGAACTCGGGAGACGGAGGTTGCAGTGAGCCAAGATTGCACCATTGCACTCCAGCCTGGGCAACAAGAGCAAAACTCTGCCTCAAAATTTAAAAAAAAACAAATATCAGTAAGAAAAGTGAAATCATAAAGAACAAAGTAAAAGTAAAAATAACCTAAGATAAATGGAGAAATTCCAAGAAAAATGTAACTTGACAAATTAGACCAAGGGGAAAAAAAAACAAGAAAAACCTGAGTACTCCCATAACTAATCATTTAAAATTTTTTAAGTTTCCCCCACAGAGAAATACCAGTCTCAGCAGATTTACAGGTGAGATCTACTGAACTTGCAAGAACCAAACCAAAACAAAAAACAGCCCATCTTCTTCAAACTGATCCAGAGAAGAGGAAAAAGAGTAAGTAGGTAAGTAATATATACAGCTGATAAAACTTTGCCAACAAATGAATCTAGCAGTGAATTTAAAAATATGATACATCTCAATCAAGTTGGACTCAACTCAGAAATTCAGGGTAATTTTTAACATAAAAAATCTACACGTGCAATTCACTACATCAACTGATTAAGCATTTAATAATATTCAATACTCTTTCCTGTTTTGTAAAAACCCTATTAGCAATTCTGATACAATTTTACTTAACCAGAAAAGATATCCTCTATTATCACCTGTATTCAGCACTAAGAAAGAGAAAGCAAGAAATGTATTAACCAGAAAAAGAATTATAAATTGTAGATGGAAAAGAAGCAAAATTGTCATTATTCATGGATGATATGATTATCCATAGAAAACCAAAGGTTTTAAAGGTTTATAAGAATCAGTACGATTTGTGAAAGGTTAGCAAGTATCAACTCAAATGTACTAATATTAAATGCATTTCTCTATGCCTGTAGCAATCCGAAAAACAAGATTTAAAAGATACTATTTGTAATAGCAACAAAAACATACGGTACTTAGGAAAAATATTTTCCTTTATTGATAGACAATTCATAAGACCTAAATTAATACAGAGAATACCACATTTATGGATAGGAAAAGTTATAGTAGAGATGTCTGCTCTTCATAAAGATTCACTATAATCCCAACCACAATCTAACAGGATGAGCTCACAAAATTTATATGAAAGAATAAAGAGCCAAATATATCCAAGACTCTTTTGAAGACTACGGTAGGGGAACCTATCCACCTATCTAGACTTTGTTTAGGATAAAGTGATACACAAGTGAAGAAATAGACAAACTGACCAAAGTGACTAGCAAGCTTAGGAAAGACGCACTCTTATGTAAAAACTACAGTGCAGCAGACCATTGAGGATGAAGGGTTATTCAATAAGTGTTGCAGAAAAACCTATTATCCACATGAAGAAAAAAAATTTGCATCCCCACTTGATTAAACTCTAAGATGTTAAAGTCATAAAAGGCAAATATTAAAGCATTTAGAATAAAACCCAGGAAGGGTAGGTGTCTTTAAATTGGAACCAAAATTACAAATCATAAAAAAAAAACAAAACTTTCAGCTAAACTAAGATGAGGACCACTTTGCTCATCAAAAAAAAAAAAAAAAAAAAAAAGATGAAGTAAAAAATGCAATGTGATATCCAGGACTAGGTCCTGGCACAGGAAGAGAACACTGGTGAAAAAATTGGTAAAATATAAATAAAGTCTATAGTTTAGTTACTAATAATATGCCAATTGTTAATTTCTTAATTCTTACAAACATATCATGGCTACAAAAGATGATACTATTAAGAGAAAACTGGGTACAAGGCACATGGAAACTCTCTGTACTGTCTTTTCAAATTTTCTGTAAATCTATAATTATTCCAAATTTTAAATAAGAAAAAGATGGCCATGCGCAGTGGCTCACGCCTGTAATCCCAACACTGGGAGGCCAAGGTGGGTGGATCACCTAAGGTCGGGAGTTCGAGACCAGCCTCACCAACATGGAGAAATCCCATCTCTACTAAAAATACAGAATTAGCCAGGCATGGTGGCGCATGCCTGTAATCCAGCTACTTGGATGAATGAGCCAAGATCATGCCATTGCACCCAGCCTGGGCAACAAGAGCAAAACTCCGTCTCAAAAAAGAAAGAAAAAGGATACTATTACGTGAAAAAGGAGCCATAAAAAAAGAATAGATCTGGCCAGGCACAGTGGTTCACATCTGTAATCTCAGCACTTTGGGAGGCCGAAGTAGGTGGATCACTTGGTCAGG